TCTGAACCACTCCCCTCTGCCTCTGTCCCCTCACCCACAACCAAGCTACTTTCCCCTCTTTTAATTCGCTCCATCTAATGAGTTTTGTCGGTACATTCACGGCGATTTCGCGATTGAATCGAGTGTAACTTGGAGAGGAATGAAAATGCGTCAGCAAAATAACAATTAAATAAAGTCGTTAGTCGGCGTGATTTGAAAATCAGAACGCTGGACAGTTAAATAATGACACATATGAAGGTGACGAAACAAAAAGAAAATAACGACATATTTCGAACGTTTTGAAGGCGCCTTTTAAGTGGCAAAAATACCACAAGATAATTATTTGAAAAGTTTCCAAGTTATGTTACTCGTATTATTTTTTTTTTTATTAGGAACTGCCTAGATTATACATAGATTTTTTCTATATGTCCGTCTATTGGCTGATTTGAAAGGCGCATTCGACTTCAGATGACTGACTTTAATTGTTATTTTACATATAATAAGTTTTTCGCGGTTATGATAGGCAAATTAATATTCAAGACTGAAATATTGCAACCTACGATCGTGCTTTACTATTTATAGTATTATACTTCTGTTGGGGAGAGAAAAACGAAAATATGTTAGTCAATGTAAGGCCAGTTAATTTGCAATTAAAATGACATACACATCAGTAATTCATATTATAGAATGATGTGTGCTGTTTATTCAAACTTGCTATCAAGTGTGCGCAGTAATGTTGAGGTCTTTACAATGACATTGTAACCTTGTGCAAAATGTACATATTGTGTTCTCTTTGGCATGGATTTTGTTTTATAGGTAATGTATTAATTCCATTGGTTTCCTGTTTGTCACTCCGTTTGATTTTACCTCTCAGAGCTCACAAGATGTTTTTAATAACAGTAATGTATACGTGGCATAGAGTATAGATGAGAATTTTGGGTATCTGATGAAAGCTCTGCACCTGTTCATGGATGTCATACTTTACAATATTTTTTATATGCTAAAAGTAATTTAAGAGGTAATGCTGAGACGGTTTGGGAGAGATACAATTTAAATAAAGATAAAAAACACTTCAATCTGCTCAGTATGTGCAAACTGTCATTTGTATAATATTTTCATAAATGATGTGGTGATAGATGTGTGTAACAGAGTTTTTTTTTTTTTTTAATTCAAGGAAGCTCTTTACTTAAAGAAAAAAAAATCTTTAGTGCTGGCCTTTTTACGCTTTTAGTTGGGGTATTTTTAGTCTTCCTGTTTTGGTGTGTGGTTCCTGAAGCTTAATGCTTTTGTTTTTCGTTGTACGGGATGACACTGGTAAGATTAAAAGGCAAAAGGCAAGGAACTGTATACTTTTGGCACAGATTTATTTTTTTTTTGCTGCAAGAATATAATATAAATGAGGTGTTTCAATTTAATTCTTATTTTTACAAAAACAGTGGCTTTATTGAAGTGTGTAATTTAGTTTTGGTTGTGTATCATTAGTATTAATTTGAGTGTTATTATGATTTTAAGACAGCTTGAGTTGTGAGATTGTATTTAATGTGAAATTTCTAAAGCAGTATTTTTATTTGAACATGTATTGATGGCTAGACATTGTTCATGTTTTGCTGTTGTTGTTGTTCTTGTGTTTTGACTTGAATTTTGACAGAGGCCTTTGTCTTGTCTGGCTCTGTGTATGCGCGCTTGTGTGTGTATGTGTGTGTGTGTTTTGTGTGTGCTGTTGGACCATGGTTGTGCTACTCAGTAAAACTATCTGTAGAACCAGATCAACATATTCTCCACTCTTTGTAGCCAACCGTGTACAACACAGAAAAGCCACAGAGACCCTGCATAAAATGCAGCCACATTAAAAGCATAAAGAGTTTGATAACTTTGCTTTGCTTGAGCACCCTAAACTCCTGGCATCTGTTTTTTGCTGTTTCTTTAGTTTTTTTTAAATTTATAATGAACTAACGGCAAGAATATAAAATCGTGTATTTTCTTTTTTCTGAACAATGCGTTTGGGGCCAAAACACCCCCTATGTGGTCGCTTGACTTTGGAGTTTGTGGTGAACACTCACCCGCAGCATAACGTAAATAAAACGGCACAAACCTAAAACACTTTTCCTAGTTTCATATCCCCTTTTTTTGTGCGTCTTTGCAGCCGATCCTTCTCCCTCTTTTGTTTCCCCCTCCCTCTCTTTCTCTCCGTTGGCTGTGTGAATGCTTTGGCAAGGCTACAAGAAATCAAGCAAGCGAGAGCTGCTAGCACTGACGCGCCTCAGACACTAAGCCCTAGAAATTAATTTTTTCCTCCGAAACGGTAATGCCGATGGTCCTCAAACTTCACACTCTTTTAAGGGGACCCCAGGGCAGTGCCCTAATTTTTTTGTGGATTTTTCCTGTCCCCCGAAAATGTTCATTTTAATTGTAGAAACTGATGCCCCGGGAAAAAGGCTACAACCCCTGCTTTTTATGCCTACCAAGTTCCTCAGGCAGCCTCACTAGCTACAGCTAAGCAGAGGCTGCACACTGCACTGGACTGCTGGTCTGAAGGTGAATAGGGAAAGAAAGGGGTTTGAGGGCTGGAAATAGGTGCTGGTGGACAAAAGGTTTAGGCACTTATTTGACTCCTGGAACCCCACCCCCCAATCTGGAATGGGAGCCCCAAGCTCAGACGAATGGGTGTATTTTTGACCTGAAATTAAGACTTGGGATTCCCATTGATAAGTGCATGTGTGGGTTTGTTTGCCTTTCTAATTCTGTTTCTACAATTTTTTTGAAAGCTGCCAAGCTGTTTTAAGTGCATGTTTAGCTGTAGATTTGTGAAGAATTAAAATATTTGCAGTGGGCGAACTACTTTGTGACTTTAATCGAGTTTTCTGAAAGAATGAAAAAGTCTTTTTCAACTACTTTGCTTGGGTTTTTCAATACAGAAACAACTTCATTGAATTAAGTTGAGGAATTGCAATTTTTTTCCTACCCAGGTGCAGGAGAGACTACACTGGAAGAGGGGAGTCAGGCGGGTTGGGAATCCTTTCCCCTGTTGCCTAACATGCTGGAGAACGGGGATCGAGGGTAAGTCAGATCTTTCCTGTGTCCGTTTCTGAGCCTAACCAAAACGGCCTCTGGCTTGAATGGGTGAGCAGAGTTAGGCCAGGGTGTGTATGTGTCTACATAAGCGTGCGAGCTTCTCTTTTAGGTCTCTCTCTCCAACCCATTTGCTGTCTATCTTTTTCTCCTTTTCTCTCTCTCCCTCTCTTTTGCGAACACCCCTCACCCCCCTTTTTCTCCCTCTCTCGATGAACAACGGGCAGAAGTAGACAGAAGCAAATGCCTTCTGCAACTGTGCTGACGTGATCATTTGACTTAGACCTTAAATAGGCTGCCCTTTATGAGATCTAACTGTGTTTGTCAGGGCTGATTTAATCTAAAGCTATTAAAAATAATATATTCTATATCATACAAAATTTTCTTTAGATTTTGTGTAGCACAAATGTAGTCACACTTTAGCTTTCAGTTTGCTTTTGATAAGCTTCCTCTTTTTTTTTTTTACTGTGAGCTTCAACTTCATGAAGCATCACAGAACTGTAAGCAAAAAAATAAACTGTGTTTTGAAATATTACAGCAGTCAGAATTAATTATTTTGTAATTAAGCCTTGATTCTCTGCTGACATGGGAAGTTCATAACACAAAACAGGGTGTGGTGTATTTAAAAGAAAATGTGAAAACTTCAAAAATACTTGGTGTTTCTTAGGTCTGCCAAAACAGTTAGTTACATAAATAGAAATAATATAATATAAAATATATATATATATATTTTATTTCTTTCAACTTTTGTCATGCTTTTTACAATATTACGATTAAATTAGTTTTTTAGCACAAGGAGGGTTATTGTGGTTTTCCTGCTCCTACCTACTTTGTTTTTTTTTACTTTAATTTTTTCAAAGGCACAACATTTTCAAGCTAAAGAAAAACAACAAAAATAAGTAAAAACTAAAATGTAGCGATAGGTCAAGAACTTTATGCCATTCACCTTTTACACACTACAGCAAATAAGCTGTTATTCACCCTCACCGCTTTGACAATTCCTGGATAATTTTTAAACAGAAAAATAATGCATATTAAAATACAAACAACTCAATACAAGTTAGTAATTTCTAATGTTCCTCCATTAGTCATCACTTTATCACTCCATAATTAAAACCTTTGTTTTTTTTTAATATATTGCTGGCTATAAAGTTATTTAATTATACTTTATTCCTTCTGAATTTGTATGCACACTTTTCCTTTTTGTTGAAGTAATGTCTTTTATGCAAGTTGTATAAATAATTCTCATACATTCTTTTATTTCTGTCTACTTATTTGATTTTACATGTAGGCACATTCTTTTTTTAATCTCCAGAATCCTTTAAGATAATGTTATTTGTTTACTTATTTTTGCAACAAATTATTGATTGGCTAATTAAAATATGCTCTGTCAAAATACTGTACCTAAATGTGCTTTAACTTTTACTATAGTGGTACTTGATCTTACTTTATAAAATTAGGCCTAAGAAGCTTCAAAATATGCAGCTTTTTTCAAGAAAATAATAAAAAACAATATTTAGTTGCTTTCATTTTAACCTCATGCTAATAAAACCATTTTAACAGGCGCTAGTTTTTTTCTTCCTCTTCATCTCCCCTCTTTGTTATCCTCCATTTTGTCTTCATCCTCAACATCCATTTTAGGACAGTGTGTGCACAGTTACTCACTTATTAAGTCTCAAAGGGCATTATTAGACTGTCATGAAAAGATGTGGGTGACCACGAGCTTCCTCACGATTGCCTGTGCCAGACAAGTCATGCTGTCACTCTTTGGTGTCACAAAACTTTTATTACATTTTTTTTTCAGAAAGAAGAGAAGCGATCTGTTCATAAATTAATTTTGTTCTGTGTTTCCTTTATTTGCTGCCACTAAAATGCATGAGACATTTTTTACATTATAATCCAACAATACATTTTTTTTTGTCCCCAATCTGATCCTAGAGAGGACCACCGGAGTCTGTCGTCATCTTTTTATTTAGCCCTGAGTGCCCTGTAGCAGCACATCATGGTTTGTAAGTTATAAGGGCAAATTCCGAATCATGATGTGCTGTCACTGGGAGCCTGGGAGTTTCTCCATTAACATGACAGCATTAAACACCTAGTCTTTTGCTTGTGTCGTAAATCCCAGTGTGATAAATATATCAGAGGTTATTAAAAACACCTAGTGTTAAATACTGTCCCTATTGTTTTGTACTATAATTATGATTCAGCTAAAAGTTTAAATTGTCAGATAAAAATGTGACAAGGCAGCTTTTTTCCCCTCAGGAGTATTTTTGTAAATGACCAGACACACAATAAATGATTCGTGGCTGAATCACCAGGTTTGGCTCGCATGGCCTCTTCAGACAGTTGGGAATTCACATCCTCTTTTTTTTTTTAGTCTATATTTTAAGATGTCAGCTACTTTCTGCGACAGTGTAACCGTTCAAGCTGATGAATTAATCTGCATATATTTGTGACGTTCCCATCATCCTCTTTCCTCCCTTGGACCACTTGATGCCTCAGTGTGCCTGACAGAAGCAGCACATCAATATTGGCAGCTGCCCTCTCTCTGGGTTGCCAGTATGGTTTGTGCTGCTCCCGTCAGACAGACACACTCAGCGATCCTCCAGTATTTGGAGCAATATGAAAACCACCTGTCCGGAAATTAATTGTATGTATTTGACTTTGACAATCTCACTTTCAACTGAAATGCTTTCTCTTTGTTCGGACTTGCATGAAAAACCTAACATTAAAAAATATTACAAACAAAACCTTATTTGAGTAAAATTATTTTTATTTTCAATACACGAAATGAAAGATATCAGTGGTTTCAGTTTGTCGCTGATAAACTGGTGAAAACCAATGTGTGCTGTCGCTATTCTGCTTATTGAAATGTCATTCAAGTACAGATCAGATGGCAGAGTAATTTCAATATATCAACGCTTTCAGTTATTGAGGTTATGACATACTAAAGAACAGAGGTATATATAAATAAAAAAAAATTTAATGGTGCTGTTAATGAGAAGATCTGCTGGGCTGCATTTTATTTTTAATATGCAGTCAATAATGTAACTGATTTGGCTGTTATTAATCATTTAAATATGTATATTTGTGCTCAGCATAATTGAGTACATCCCATTTTTTACATTTTTATCCATTTCTCATGAATATAGGCAATGTATTATGGTGCATTTAAATAAAACAGATTTGTTACACGGATACATTTATTAAAATATTTTAGTCATTAAACATATTTAGAAATTGAAAGATAATACAGGGTGACTGCTGGGTGTAAAAAAGGATTAAAAGTTAATAAATAAATGTAGAGAAATTTAAGGCCCTTAAAAAGTATTAAAAAATCTTAAATGGTAATTTGCAAGGTATTCAATTTTATATAATTTTTTATTATGCAATGTATGGTTGTATGCTAAAGTTTGCCGAAATTAAATCTGCGCATATCAGGATGCTGTGTAGTTGATGACATCATGCTGCCTCGTTTGTTGCAGTAACCAAGATAATACCATTATTTCTGCAGTTGTATGGGCGCCAACCTGCTGAATTAGCTAGATGTAATAGATTTAAACATATGAATAATGTTTCAGTTTTAGATTCGTTTTTTTACTTTAATATTTAGTAAATATACTGCAAGTTAAACTCTCGCCATTGTTTCCGTTTGAAACCTAAAGTTATAAGGTCTTAAAATGTATGGAAAGAGCCTTAAAAAGGTCTTAATAGGTATTGAAATACACTCTCTGATTTCTGTATATACTCTGCAATACAATTTAATTCAAGCAAAATATTGCAAAAAAAAAAAAAAAAACACATTACAAAATTTCAACTACGGTAAATATGTACATTTTTTTTCTTAATTTTTTTCCCTCCTTTTTAAATTTGTGTTTAATATTTTTCTATAACATATAAAATTAGGTGTACTAGTTTTTGGAGCAATATCGTAAGTTATTTTGTTAGATAAGCTCCAGATTTGGCTTCAGTACTGAAAAAACTAATGTATATGCACAAATATAATATTGTATAGCTTCCTTTTAAAATATATATATTTGTGAGGGGTGTACTTATATATGTTGAGCCCTGTATGTAGTGTGAGCCCTGTATGAAGTCAAAATGCAAACAGTTATCTTGCTAAACTGTTAAAATCATCTTTAGTTGAACCCTTTTTTGTGGTGAAACAAAGAGATGTGGGTGGAAAAAGACCCAAGGTATTACAAAATTTTTTATTCACTTAGGAAAACATGAAAGAGATTGTGTGCATTTTTAACAGTTTACCAAACAAAGCTTTTATATACTCAACAAAAATGTAAAATCTTTTCCCTACACTTTCCACATTTTCCCCAAAAACAAAGTACTGGACATAATTGATTAATGAGTAATGATTGTAAAATATATACACAGTAATTGTTTTACAGTAACATATTTTAAAATCCGACATTTTGGACCCAGCATAGCAATATGTATTTAGCGATGTTTGCTAGCTTTAAAAACTTTGTGCTACATTGATGAGACATCCATCCATACCTTCACAATTCACTATTTTTAATGAGTCTTTCGCTTTAAAAAGTTCTTCCTCCATAAAAAAACAGATTTCTTGAAGTGACATGATAAGCTTCTTTTTCGGATTGTATGTTGCAGATGATTTCAACGGGATAACAACGGCAAGTCACTGGAATTCATGATGAGACTTGAGTCAAGGTTTAGACTATCTGCATGGGAAAAAAATGAATACATATATTATTTTTCATGGCAATGAGCGGAACCTGAATAAGACAAACACAAAATTTGTCATTTAAATTTGTATTTAAACAATTAACTGCCAAAATCTTTGAAAATATACAGGACAGAGATTGTGAAGGGGTTAAAATTTGGAGAGAAAAATACACCAAAAAGCTGTCTCTTACCTTGGTCAAAATTAAGCTTTTTAGATGATGAACTATCACCCAAGCCTTCAATATCTACCAAATCACTGTTGGCATCAGAGTCATTCAGTGCACTGAGAGTGACGTCTGTGGAAAAAGCATATCAATACATTAGTCGTATTTGACAATTTTCAATCTGCTAAACAATTTTGCAAGTTTAAAATGAAAAACAAAACAAGTGAATTAGGTAATGCCGACCTGCCGTTTTTGATGACTTAATGCTAGATGGACCTGTGCTTGCCCGCTGTAAGCCTGCAGTCACAACAACTTGAGATGTTGGCACAGCAATGACTTTTGGTGGGGCTGGTGGAGCCATTGAAACCGGCACCTTTTTGGTGCTCTTCTTTGGTGAATTGGTGGATAGAGGGGCTCCACTGTCATCATACAACTTCCTCTTGACTGCTGTTGTCATTTGGGCCCTTATTTTGAGGGGGAAAAAAAATGTATTACTCACAAGCTACGCAACTTAAATGTTCTTATTAATTACAAATGTACGATATAATAAAAGACTAATTATTACAGAAGAGCTACACAACTAATGAGTCTTTATTGATGGCAAATGTAAAATATAAATAAAACATCGGGGGTCTTCTTGAGTTTCCGAAAAGAATGGTACTTAGGAACTGTAATGCAAATTTCACCTGAATTTAAGATGCTTTCATTTGTTTACTTTTTCTAAGCCATACGCATAGTAACTTTAAAAAGATTAAACCAAAACAGTTGTCAATTCTACAGACAGGTATTTTTTGCGTAATGTTTCTATCAAAATGAACAGAATAATCTCAGGCTCTAGTCAAGTCTTAATTTAACATTTGACAATTCAAGACCTTTAAGGGACAGTTCAATCAAATTTGCATAATTTAGTTTTGTATTTGGTCCAGACTTACATGAGTTTTTTTCTTCTATTGAACACAAAAAGAAAACATGAAGAATGTTTGACTTCCATAATTTATTATGATTAAATAAATATATATATAAATAGTTATACTGTGGATTTCAATGGCTAACAGGTTCCAACATTCTTCTAAATATATTTTGTATGCAATATTTATATATATATATATATATATATATATATATATATATATATATATATATAAATGTGTAGCACCACAACAAAAATAATATTTCTGGTCAAACAATACATTTGTTGGTCAAACTCAATAATTCTTTTACACAGTATTTTACCACAGTGTGGTCTTAAAAAGACTTAAAATGTCTACAATTTTTCAAATAAAAATTTCAGGCCTTAAAAAAAATTCTTAAATTCACTGAAATCTTGTGTTGTAGGTCTTAAATCATTTTAAACCAGTGTTAATTTTTTCCATGTAAAGCTACCCAATTGGGCCACACCCATCCAATCACTATCATTCCAACTCACTGAAAGTTTAAACAAAAGTTTATTTATTAACTAATATTTTGTAAATCTATTTACCAACTCAATTTATATTCATAGACATATGGTTTAATTATCTTAAAATAACATTTGTTTTTAATGTGTTTTTTTTATGTTTGGGCCATTAAAAAACCCTTAGTGTTTAGCCTTGTGTAAGTCTGAAATTTCATTCAGAATGGTCTTAAAAGGTCTTTAAAAGTCTTAAATATGACTTGACGAAACCTATAAAAGCCCTTGTAAAATGTTTTGTTTTTAAACAGTACTTAGGGTTTATTATTAATCTGTCAATGTTGTGAAACATTTTCTTTTCTGTTTGTATTGGGCTACTGGCAGATATTTGTTCTTGTTTTAATTATAAACCAGTTAGTTTAAAGTTTGCAAAAATACTTGGCCCTGACAGAAAGCAAAAGAAGTGTTTTTGCCCATAATGTCAGTAAAACAATGGCTTTAAAAATTTAGCAATTACAAATAAAAATAAATGGATAATATTAAAAACTGTTTACATAAGAAAATGGTTTAGTGCTTTAATTTATTGCTAACATTAAAACGTAACAATTATTCGTAAATTGTCAAAGCAGACAAGGGTTAGAAAGCGTTTGAGGGACCCAAGGGAAATAAAAAAAAACATATTTTTAAATGATCAATTAAGTATTTTCCATGTACACCATATGTATTACTTTGAAGAGAAATGTACACGTTATACAACTTTTTACACGTGCCAGTTTAAGTATAAACCATCCAGTCCGAACTGTGATGCAGAACGTGAAGTTAAATAGGCAGCGAGTGTCTCACCCTGCTGGAGTAGTATCTGCTACTGGATGCAGCTGCATGGTCAGCTCTCCCAACTTTGTGAAAGCAGCTCCAGCTGCAGAAAAGATCTCGCCGACCTAAACACAGACATCAAGAAATAAGTAATGTACAGAATCCGCCGAGATCGTAGAAACGTGTATTTAAGAATTGACATTACGATGATAGTTAGCATGTTAGCCAGTAGCTTTATTGACAACACAAAGCATTGAATACAGTAAGCATGGATGCACACTACCAACACAAACATTTAATCGTTCTTTAGGTATCATATTTGTAAACATTTACCTTTGTAGAGGCCGAAGTCATTGTTTTGATTTGCAACCAAGTAATAAGGACTGCGTTTTAGAAAAAGCTAGGACACTTCAAGCTAACGTGGACAGCAACGGCTGATATAAATCGGCAGCGATACTTATTCCTCAAATATTTACATTTTGGAACAACAATAAAACGTGTTCTTTGACTAAGCTGGTAGCATAATTGTAAAGATGATACTGTGTTTCGGCGATGCCCATTGGTTTGAATTCCAGCAATCGGTTGTTATTGGTGCCCACCAGAAATGAACTCGGCACACTCAAAGCTGCGTCGAAACTGCGCAGCTCGTTCGCGCTTTCTCCTCAGGGTTTCCTCGGTCCAAATTCGTAATTTATTAATGCGCAATACAGCCGTACTTGTTTCTGTAAACCCTACGTAGACTGTTGGTTTTAATATTTTCTTGTCAGAGCAGACGGAGGTAATAAGGTTTTATTGGTTTAGATGAAAACCGTGCTATTTAACACATTCATTCGTCTTTGCAATCACAGGCAAGAGTTTTTAAAATGAATAAAATCTTTAAGCAAAATATAAAGTGATTTTATATGATGTTAAATATGCCTTTAACAAATGCGACATTAGTCCAGGACCTCAAAATTTGATATTGAAAGACGGGGAAGATAGTGTTCTGCGTCTTATCTATTCACTACCACTATGTACACTACAACTAAGAAAAACATCGAAATGGAGCTGTGAGACCATCTATCGCGCATGCGTGATGTTTATACTGGCGTCTGCTGCCCTCTAGTGCACAAAGCAGGCAACTAGAATTAATTTACTTTTAAAAGAAAACACCAACAAGTAGCTTTCCTTTAATTCAATTACTGTTTATTGAGGGATGCGTTGGAAAGCTTCTGATATGATGTCCAGAGAGGGCGGATATGACAAGTAACACCATGCAGAGGATTTGCACGATGCTGTCACTATACATGTTTGGCACTATTTTGACACAGCTGGCAATATCTGGACCAAATGAACAATAAAAACATGAACAACAAGAGCAACTATAACAGTGGTTGCTATTATTATATGCATGTTGTCAAAGTGCAACAAATGCAGAACATAAAATGCTTGCTCAGCAATGTTCTACATATACTTGGGGTAGAATAATAAGGTTTTACAATTTCATATTTTGTCTGTATGATGAAATTTAAGAGGCAGGTATCAGCTGCAATACATTTTCTTAACAATTATGTCATCGGGGAAACCTTTAAACCCATTCTAAAATGAATGCAAATTAGACAAACAACAACAACATACTAGAAAAAAGATAGCACATGGCACTCTATATTGCTTTGAAGAACCAGTTGATTTGTAGACATTTACAATCCCCATGATCATTCCTTCAATTCGTGACCACTGTTTATAGTCAGTGAAATTGCACGAGTGTAAATGCGTTCAAATAAATATATTCTATATTAAGTGTATAGTGTTATTGCTAACATCAATCTCTATCTCTGGGCTATTATAAAATGCTTTCTTTATAGCTATAAATGTTGTACATTAACAGACATCAGCACTAATATTGTCGGAGGATAACAGTCCATTTTTAAAGCACATAGTACAGAGCAAGGAGAGTCTAGGACATGCACAAGGGGATTTCATGGAGTGGAAGAGATAAGTGGGCAAAGAGCAGCTGTCACTTTTAGATCCATAAACAAACACACATAAATCTCACCTTTCCTGCATTCATGTTATAGCTAGTACAATATTTTAATGGCATTGCTTGAAGCTAATCTACATTATTCTAGTCATATTTAGAGGTTAAATGTTTAATGTCAACCCATGGTGTTGTGTGCTGGAAGACCTGCTGTCTTATCACAGCACTGACTTGGATCCCTTCCACAGTGTTAACAAATGTACTAGACAAGTACACGGATCAAGATTTAGCAGAAAATGACTGACAGGAAGTTAGGCATAGACTAGCATTCACATATCCGGCATTTTCATCATAAATGTGTGTAAGAGAGAATGACTGACCATGATACATTCACACAGTAAGATGCTAAATAATGTTTGCTCCAGATCGACAGGCAAATATATGTATGCAGTTCCACACTCTTAATAAATACACAAATAATAAAATATGTCCTCTTAATTACGCTAACTAAAACACTGAGTTTTAGTTCAATTGATACTTGATGCAATCATGCAAATAATTTACTCAAATAAAAAATACATCAAATATTACAATAAATATATAGAACACGATAGGAGTGGCTTTTGTAACCCTGTATTCTTGTTTGTCCTCACAGCTTCCCCTCGCCTGTGTTTTCCTTCATCATACTACCACCGCGTCAGAAGGGTGAAGGTAGGGCTGGAGTTAAGATGGCTGACACAGCGGGCTGTCATTTCAAATGAGCACTAAGTAAATTACTCTCCCTCCATTATCGTAATGAGAAGCCTTTCCCATCGAGAGAGGGAGACAGCAAAGGAAAAAAAATGATATTGACCCTTTGGCACACAGACAACATTAGTCTTACTCGCCAAGCTTCCTTTCCCCAAGATAAAACAGCCAAACGTACAATGCCCGTATGAAATTGTAACTAAGAGGTGAAATTCATGAGTGGTATGAAACATAGACATGTATACTGACCGGTGTAAATGGTATATGGTAAACAAAGACTTTCTCTTTCGTACATCCACACACACACACACACGAGGAGTCATGCTGTGGCCACTAGAATACATGCAATATAAGTAGCAACTGAAATGAAAATAGGTTTCAGATATTAGTACGTTAACACACACACACACATACTCGCCCACGTAATTCAGAACAGTTAGACAACATAGATGAAATGGCTCCTGATTCCTTCATGAATTATTAGTATATAGTTGGACCACAGTCAGAAAGCAGAGACGGCAGACGAGTTCACATGATAATTGGGAAAAAGCACGAGATACTGAGTAGATGTAAAGATAAACATACGATGAAGCAGCCATTATTATTTAAGCCTATTTGAACACAGGATAAAAATAATAATAATAAAAAAAGTGGGATCCTGAGGACCAGTGTAAATTAGGGCTTCTAGGTTCCAGTGGAAAAGACATGCACACTCACTGTTCAGAGGTAATAACTAGAACATTTTTTTTCTGTTACATTTATTCGATGACCGTAGCACTTGATAATCTCTGGTAGCAGCTTGAACTGGCCTTTCCTTGGGTTTATGTATAGCCAATGCAATATTGGAAGATAATACTTACATTTTGTAACAATTTTTAATTGAGTTATAAGAGTAAAATCTTACACGGGGAGGAATAATATTCTGCACAAAAGTGCAACATTCGCTAATTTATAGTCATGCCTATTTGAAGATCGCAATCAACTAAAAAGCTTTGGCAGCCATTGCCGTTCTGAAAAGAGACTATTAAGGGTTATGGTCATCAGTTTTCCCTTTTCTTTGATCTGCACTCTTATGCTTACAACAGATTAATCTAGAGATCTGTGCAGCGCTCCTGCTTGCTGTAATGGTCGAACTGGCTCTTCCAGTGCATCATGTAAGAGCTCCAGCGATGAAACTCCACTTTCCACTGTCGCTCAACATCATCAATGTTATCTGGGTAGGAAATATGAGGAAAACAACAGCATGAGGTTTGACAGGAAAGTAGAGGCAAGAATGAATTGAAAAATCTCAGAAAAATTGAAATGTTTCTTTATGGTCAGCAGTAAAAACAAAGGCATCCATTTAACGACTCAGCAATGCTACATTACTATAAAGGTCCCACCCATTTAATGGAGCATTTGCTAAAAGCCCCCACAGGAGAATTTATAACTTATGATTTAAGTTACTGTAGACAGGCCTGCACAAGCCTCCCTGCCCCCACAAAAAAAGAGCAAGAGTTTAATTGCTTCATATTCTGGTTCACTTCCAGTATAATAGTTGGCACAGTACGTTTGTTTAGATTCAGAGCATAAAAGATACACTTGCGCAGACAAGGCATTTCCTTGATAAATAATCGGATGGTTTTTGCTAAGGCCAATACTTTGTTTTTTGAAGCTCTTTTCCCCACTGAAGCAAAAGAAAACCTAATAATTATACAATTCAAGACAATATAAATTGTTCCTCCTGAAAACAGGAAATCATACACTTTTGGAAAAACATTTAAAGAATAACATTTGTCAAACATTTAACAGTATGTGAATAACACCTTATTTCAGACTTTTTTTTAGCTTGAAAAAAGAAAATGTAAGAAAGAGGCATTGATTCTCACTTCTGTTATGACTTCCTCTTCTAAACAACAATAAATTTCACTGACCAAGCCATAAAACACATGTCTGCGGTTTCTCACCATCAATATAAACTCTAAAAACATGAACTACAGTTCCTTAAAGTCAATGTAATAAATGTAAAAAAATTAAAATATTTAAGTGCATGACATTAAGAAATACTGGTTGAGTTTGTTACCTGTGATGTTAAGCAGACGAGGCAGGAAGCGGTTCCACAGAGCACAGAACTGTGTTCTTAGACCCTTGTGCACCTTCATTGGCTCTGTGTTCAAGCCCACATGCTTTTGCTCATTAGCTGAAAATTGAGGCCATCGTCTCCGACTGTCCATGGTGCCATCAGTATTAACATTGGGATTACTTTGTAATGATACAACAACAAAAAAACAGGCGGTCAACTTTCTACACAACACTAGGAAACATTCCACAACAATAAATAAATTGTTTTTTTTTCTGCTGAAAAAAGTCATGACGATAATTCTTTCAGAGACATGAAGTCTTGTCATCTCTTACCCAGTGCGGGCGAAATTAGCCCAGTATCTCATTATTCGTCGACTGAGTTTCTCCTCCTCTGCTGTGTAATTGAGTCGCTTCTCCAATGGCAGGCCAAATACAAACTCAATCTCATAGCCGTGGATGACGCCCATCCACTCAGGCCAGGCCAGGTTTGAGGCTCGATGGTCAAACAGATAAAGGTACACAGCACCTAAAAATAAAAAAGTAAAAAACTTTTTAATGGAGAAATTTCCATTTTACATTAATGGTGCATTCTGTAATTCTATTTTTTGCTCTCTTCTTCCTAGCAGTCTTGCAATCTAAACTGAATTCTGTCCACAAGCATGAGTTATCTTTACCACTAGAATAACCTTACCATGCGAGTTGCCACTGTTGTAGCCTGTTGGTCCTGAGTTTCCCCAGCCTAGTGTTCCTGGAGCTGCCGCTGATGACTGGGCATGGAGGGCAGCGTATTGTGCGTATGACTTTGCAAAATGCTGTAGAGGACAGATGACATTTTGATCTCCTACAATATCGTCCATGGCATCTCTATTCTTTTGGCCGTTGTTCTCATCCATCCAATCAGTGTATTGAAGGATAACTGCTTCCAAGCCAATGTCATTGGCATGTGGAACACCCATCTTCACACTTTCCAGGAAGTCTTCCCGAGATATTAAACTCTCATTGTCTTTACTGAAACCTGGTGCCCCATAAAGCAAGAAGTAAGATCCCTCATCCTGATTTACGCCCAACAGGATCTGAGTGTATTTGAAGTTCCCAGAGCTAATCATTGCATCTGGGGTGTCGGGAAAGAAAACCCCATCGACGACAGGCACAAAGGAAAAGCGGAAAAGGCTGCTCCAGGGAAGAACTTGCCACTCTTGATCAATTAGTTCCTGTGGATGTTTATTCCTCAGACAATCAATCAGTTCAGTATCATTGCCCCAGGTGCAACCAACCAGTTTGCCCAACTTGGTGGTTCTCCGACGGGCCTCATCAAAGGTAACAGTGGCCCAGGGTGTATTTGGAACACCACTCTGCAATATGGCACGTGTGAAGAGGGGGCGGCTGTCTGGTGACAGAACATGCATGCCAACTGATGCTGCCCCAGCACTTTCTCCAAAAATGGTGACCTGTTTTGGGTTACCGCCAAAGAAGTGGATGTTTTCTTGTACCCACTGGAGGGCCAATCTCTGGTCATAGAGACCCACGTTTCCAGGTGCGTCTGATGAGCCATTAAGAGCAAGGAATCCAAAAGCTCCAACACGATAGTTCATAGACACAACCACTACCTTTTCAGTGTAAGCCAGGTAACGGCCATCATAGACATCAAGAGAGGAAGAGCCACTATAGAAGCCACCACCATATATCCAGACCATAACTGTGAGGTTCTGTGGTCTGGGCGTAGGAGGTACCCACACATTCAGATAAAGACAGTCTTCACTCATCACTCTGTTGGGGTTCCACATTTCAATACCTGGAAAGCCCGGGTAAGAGGTATCCACAAACTGATAGCAGGCATTTGAGAACTCTTTAGCCTCAAAGACATTATTCCAGGGCTTTTTGGGCTCAGCTCTCTTGAAACGCCTCTTCCCAATGGGTGGTTCAGCATATGGGATGCCTAAGAAAGCAATCACATGACTCCGGTCTGGAACAGGCAATCTTGTACCCTGCACTCTGCCCAATCTTGTTGCTACTACGAGGTCAGGTTCAGCCTGTGCGAAACAGTTATGGAAGAGGAACGTGAGTAGCACAGTGGGCAAGAGCAAAATATCTGAGGTCTTCATGGCTTCTTTTCACTTGTTGGCTGGAAAGTACTGTGATCTCCCTGTTGTGAGCCAAGCCAAGTATGACCTGTGTATGAACAACAAAAGACGAAGAAATTTGGAAAAATAAACATCCATTCAAATTCATTCACATGCATGTGAAAACAGTAGACAAAACATATTATTATGCTACGAAATTCCCATGGGTAAAAAGATCATTTATTATAATTGAAAGTAGAAAGTAAAAAGTAGTTTTGCTTACTCAAAGCTTAGTGTGACTGTGTGTGCATTGACAGGGATTCCAAGGCCAAACAGGCTATAACAGCGTGACCAACCAAAAATGGACAGATGAGTAAAGAAACAGAGTCTGCTCTAGACATGTGAATGCTCGCTTTCTAGGACCAATAAACACACCTGTGAGGTGTATGTTTATGTTTTACATGTTGCCTAGTTGCTATGCTGACTGGATTAGTTCTGGGGGCACAGTTAGGGATAAGGGTACATGAATTTAACTGCAGCTGCGTGAGTGTCTGTTTGAACAAGGCTATTTCTGTTCCCCCTGCCTCCTTTGCCTGTATGGGGTTCTATTTTTGAGGGTGTCACTTCTCTCTATCAGTCCATCTGCCTCTCTGCCCATCCAACCCTTTCTCCACTATATGCAAATTGCACAAAGCATCACTTAAGTAATCTTAGCAAGTTTACCTTTACACGATAGATGAGTTTGCCCCCAAATATCAAATATTTCATCCTTCACAAATCCTCATATCTTGCCAGGCCTGTATGCCTTCCTTTTGTGCATGACATTTTGTACACACAGGTTTATTGTTGTTGATTTCTCTATACATAATTGCAGCTTCCATAGTATGGAACAATTGCTGCTACATGGACTCAATTAGAAAAATGTAGTGCTTGGCAAGTGCAATAAAAATCATCTTTCACTTCACACTGAGATATACCTTTTGCACAATGTCATGTACAATATTTATTTTAATCTCACGTACAGCCACATGCTCACAGTATATGTACAGTCAGATAATTCCCTGATGTATAGAGGTTTATATTTTTCATTTGAAGTTCTGTGTTCTATATTTGTTTGCTAATATTTGTTTAATTAGTGTGTAGCACTGTGCCCATGCGAGACATGACGTTTCGTTCTATGATATGTCCTCCTGTATAGTAGAATGACAATAAAGCTTTGCTTGAAACATTCATTCAAATGCTCTTGAAGACACTGTTCATGAATTATTAGGATAAAAGATTGGTGCCAAATTAATTTAAAAGGACTGCTTATTACATAATCTATTGGCCATTTTAGAAAAGTGGTCTTAAAATAACTTTATATTAGACTCGATAGTGAAAAGAGGCTTGAAGGACTGCAACACAATTCATCAGCCAAAACGTCTCAATGGATTTATTAATATTTTAAAAGACAGCTGCATGTCGGAAATGGGGGGCAAGGGTAGCTATAAGGGGGATCGAGGATAGGCAGAGGGGGAGAGGCTGTCCGGACTCAAATTAGATCCTGGAATCCATGTATGAAGTTCACTGGGGGTTTGCTTTCAGCTTGGGATTACACGTTGTTGTGCACACCATCATGTCATTAAACACATGGCTTTCTTTCTCTGGTTAACTTTCCATAATTCCATATGAGGCAAGATGATCGAGATAAGTTATCATCCTACCCTGAAGAGAAAAGCACTGTTTTCAATTAGCACTGCTAAATCATCAATCCTCATTCTTTGCCAGAAAATCTTAATGTATCTCAAAATGAACTCTTGCCATAAAAACTAGCAAAAATCCATAGCATCCTAATTTATTTGTACAGTTTCCCCATTTATCCATATCTAAGACCATCACTTTTTGTGTTATTGAAGTGGTGAATTCAAAAAGAGCCATCTACTGCAAAACTGCAGAATCAAATATCTGGTTTTCAAAGACTACAAGTCCAACAAATGCCATATAGCCTGCAATGTGATTTATCCAAATGCCTAAATTAGTCAGCATTTCCATCTCATTCACAGTGGAAGGGCTTTTGACTAAATGAAGACTACAAGCAAACCTAAATGACGCTCGATTCATACTGTCAGTTCTTGGTACCCACAGCGTGACATGACCAACAGGCCAAAACATTTCAAAAGTGACAGTTTGATGAGCGGCTCTGAGATGAATGGAATTTTCCGTTTCGTGGTCTGTCCATCTAATATTTCATGAGAGAGTTCTCAGCAGTGAGCACGTGCCGTCACATACACACTTGTGCTCATGCTGTCTGGAAGCCAACTCTGGAGACACTACGATTGCAATTGCAACCACAATATTTTAAGCTTTCAAACAATTCCCCAGTTGATGAGGTAGTGTGCATGCTACAACAGAATGTTAACGTTAATTACCCTTCTCCGAGGCACTTGTACGACTATAATTAACTTTTCCCAGCGGAGCACAGCTTCTGAAGTCTTAAAGCTTATCATAACTGCATCAATATCGGAGTCAGAAGTCTCTACGTAATTGTGAAACCAAGTGGGTCATTCTTGTTTTGGGGCATATTTGGAGCTTTTTAGCTTTTTACTTTTAATAATGTTCTCAATTTAGAGATGAATTCAGAGAAAATTCTAGTTATAATACCATTGCAGTCATCTTTAAGAGTGTGTTGTAACTAAGCATATACACTTTTTTTAAACTATAGCTTGATTTTTTTATACAATGCACGAAAATTAATAGAATAAATAAAGGTATACAGTTAAAAGGACAGTTCACACTCCACTTGTTACAAACCAGATTGAGTTGTTTGTTTGTTTGTTTGTTTGTTTGTTTGTTAAACACAAAGGAAGATATTTTGAAAGTGTTGGAAACCAGTTACCACTGACTTCTATAGTATTTGTTTTTCCTACTATAGATGTCAATGGTTACAGATTTCAAACATTCTTAAAAATAGAACAAAACAACAGCAATTAACAATAATAATTGAAAATGATTTGGAACAAGTCAAGGGTGAATATATTATGGTAGATTTATTTTTGGTTAACTAAGACACTCCTTAGTGAGACATTGATTACTAGCTTATATAAGGGTGCTACCAGTATGTCAAGGGGATTAATGATATTTTACTTGTAAATGATGACAGGATTTTCATTTTGGGTGAATACCCCTTATTGTTATTATATACAGTTGAAGTCAGAATTGTTAAACACCCTTTGATTATGTTTAACAGAGCAAGGAAATTTTCACAGCATGTCTGATAACATTTTTTTTCTTCTGGAGAAAGTCTTATTTGCTTTATTTCAGCTAGAATAAAAGCAGTTTTTATTTAAAAAAAACAAACTAGTTTAGGTCAAAATTTTTAGCTTCTTTAAGCTATGTTTTTTTTTTCGATAGTCTGTCGAACAAACCATCCTTATACAATAACTTGCCTAATTACCCTAACCTGCCTAGTTACCCTAATTAACCTAGTTAACTCTTTACATGTCAGTTTAAGCTGTATAGAAGTGTCTTGAAAAATATCTAGTAAAATATTATTTACTGTCATCATGGCAAAGATAAATTAAATCAGTTATTAGAAATTAATTATTAAAACTATAATGTTTAGAAATGTGTTGAAAAAAATCTTCTCTCTGTTAAACAGAAGTTGGGTAAAAAATATACAGGGGTGCTGATAATTTAGGGGGGCTAATGATTGAAGAGTATGAATCTTGACTATTCTTTTTATCATTTCACCAACATCGCATATTAGCTTTTGAGAGTTAAAGAAGGGAAACAATAAAGGTGACAGGGTTTACAGTAACAGAGATGATACTGTACACTATATGAAAATAAATCTACAATACAAAATAAATATGCCAAAAAAGACTATTATTTACAAACAATCTCTATTCATAGTATTGTGAAACTAATAAATAAGTCCAACATCTTGTATTAACAGTAGCCTGTTTATAACGAGAATATGGCAAGCATTTGCAGTAAGGACCCATTATCAAAATAAGCGTAAACAAGCCAAACCAAATAGGCTACCTGTGCTGAACTGACACAATGAAAGCTGTGAGAGGGAAATCTGACATTTTATTAGGCTTTTAAAATCGCAGTGATTTGCGGTGGACTTCAACAGATAGGCTATCAGCACGTAAATTGTAGCATCAGGATAAAGCAAACGAGTAACGAAGTGGTAAAAAACCAAAGGAGACGGCAAGGTTACAAGCAGACAGGTGCTGAAGGTAAACAAGCTTTAATTTGGGAAACCGGGGCCTCGGAGTGCGCGTGCGCCGATGTATTTCTCCAGCACGACTAATTACATCCATATTCTTTAGCGCTACAACATATGACAATTACAAAGCACGAGCATCCAATGCTCACAACAGGTTTTGTTTTAGTCATTTGTTTGAAATGCACATAGTTTTTACAGGCGACGCTTTTGGTATTATTTGTAATTACCGGATTATAAACAAATGAAAGGCATATAATACAATTATGCAACAATCTGGTTGGCCTGCAAAACGATATAAACTGCAATAATCAAAGGTTAATCTTAATTAAATCGCTGCAAACCATTTGCCATTCACGACTGTATAACAACAACCGCATACTATATAATACAGTAAATAATAGCCTAATGTAAACTGCCTCAAATCGGTTACATTAGCAACATGAAATGTAATAAATACACTGACGACAAATACACAGATCTCACCGTGTTTATTATTTCCACACAGTGTTGCCTGTTGGACCAGTCAGCAGAAGAACACATTAAGAGCGCGAGTAAAAACCTCAAAGATGCCTAAATTATTGTAAGTTACCTGGTGTCTCCAGTTCACAAGCCGGCTTTGCTTCAGCGCCTCTCCCACAGGCTCTTCCACTCCTCCGCCTGTCCTTGAATGAAGAAAGCCAGAATTGTTGCCGTGCCGTAGGGCGAAAAGCAAAAGCAGGACAACTGGGCTGGGGGAAGCGTGAAGGGACTGAATTATAGTCTCGCCTGTCTGATTTGAACGCTGGATCAAGCTTCTGACGGAACTAGGAGAGGAGTCGTACTGCACTGCTATGTCGGTAGGGGGAGACTCCTTATAATAAGCACAATCGAGTATAAAAAAACAAAAACAAACAAACTATAGAGTTCTCGCGAGACGACGCGCCGCTGTTGTTCGCTCTCAAGCACCCAGTTTCTGAAGTGCCTATGTAGGGTGAGTCGTTTGCACAGGCGTCAGCTTTAAGTGCACTGCTACATGTGTCAGGTACTCTGTATTTCTCTGCTTTTGTTTCTCAGAGTGTAGCGTACTGCATGTAGCACGAAACCATCCGCTTCTGTTTGAATATGGCATAACAAAATAATAATAAGCTAATAATAAATAATTGAATTTTAAGCCAACCTAATCATATACACTAGTTATACATGTATAATAACAATTCTAAACTTTAATGGTTTATTGCTTTGTGTTGAGGTGAAATGTTATTTTTTTAGTAGCTAATGATAACATTTCTTAAAAATATTATATAAAAGGTTAGTTTTTTTTGTGCATAAAATAAAATAGGTAAAAAGTTCCACATTCTCAAACATATTTATATTAAAATGTGGATGCCATTCCAGTGTTTTAACAGAAAATTTAAGAAATCAATTTTGGAGCAATAGCTTGATTTGAAAAGCCTGATTTTTTTTTTATCACAACAAATAAAAACATTTGTTATTCAGACCAACATTCTCTTGATTTTTGTATAGCTTTGTTAGTATGTAATTGGGAATGTAGATATGAAAACATAAAGGTGTTTAGATTATTATTTAAAAATATTTGTACTGAATAATTTAGTTTTGTGTTTTTAGATTACTTTCCAACACTTGATGTACCAAAATCAGAAGTATACTCCAAAGAATATAAACTCACTGGCCACTTTATTGAGTACACCTTACTAGTATTGGGCTGGACCCTCTTTTACCTTTAGAACTGCCTTAATCTTTCATGGCATTGATTCAACAAGGTACTGGAAATATTCCTCAGAGATTTTAGTTGATAATGACATGACAGCATCATGCAGTTGCTGCAGATTTGTCGGCTGCACATCCATGATGTGAATATCCATTTCCACCACATCCCAAAGGTGCTCTATTGGATTGAGATCTGGTGACTGTGGAGGCCATTTGAGTACAGTAAACTTGTTTTCATGTGCAAGAAACCAGTCTGAAATGATTCACACATTATACATTATTCTGCTGGAAGTAGCTATCAGAAGATGGGTAAACTGTGGACATAAAGGGATGGACATGTTCTGCAACAATACTCGGGTAGGCTGTGGCATTGACACAATGGTCAATTGGTACTAATGGGCCCAAAGTGTGCCCCCACACCATTACTCCACCACCACCTGCCTGAACTGTTAATACAAGGCAGGATGAATCCATGTTTTCATGTTGTTGACTGCAAATTCTGAGCCTACCATCCAAAAATTGCAGCAGAAATCCAGACTCATCACACCAGGCAACATTTTTCCAATCGTCAATTGCCCAATTTTGGTAAGCCTGTGTGAATTGTAGCCTCAGTTTCCTGTTCTTAGCAGACATGAGTGGCACCTGGTGTGGTCTTCTGCTGCTGTAGCCCATCCGGTTCAAGATTGGACATGTTGTGTGTTCAGAGATGCTCTTCTGCATACCACGGTTGTAATGCGTAGTGATTTGAGTTACTGTTGCCTGTCTATCAGCTGGAACCATTCTGGCAATTCTCCGCTGACCTCACTGGATATTATTTATTTTTCGAACCATTCTCTGTAAACCCTAGAAATGGTTGTGCGTGAAAATCCCAGTAAATCAGCAGTTTCTGAAATGCTCAGACCAGCCCGTCTGGCATCAACAACCATGCCACGTTCAAAGCCACTTAAATCACCTTTCTTCCCCATTCTGATTCTCAGTTTGAACTGCAGCAGATCGTCTTGGCCATGTCTACATGCTTAAATGCGTTGAGTTGCTGCGATGTGATTGGCTGATTAGAAATGTACGCAAGTAAGTAGTTGGACAAGTGTACCTAATAAAGTGACCGGTAAGTGTATGTATCATATTTCATATTAATTAGATCACTCAGAAAACACAAATTTCTTAAAAATCTGTTTGAAAATTTAAGTATTCTCATTTCTTTGGCATATAACAAACTTAAACATCTAAACTGTTTTTATGATTTATTGTTTTTGTATCCAAATTTGAACTGAAATATTAAATTTCTCTCAAAAATCAGAAGTTTACCAAGCATAATATTTAGCCATTTATACTTATATTTCTTAGAACAGCAAGTAAAATACTGTAATAGAAAAAAAGTGCTTTTTACTGCCTTTCTTTTTGCTCAATTAAAATATAATTTTAAAATGACCATTTCACAACATGTAATGTAAATATAATTCAGTTATTGTTAGTTTTCTATAGCATGTTACATATTCTTTGTAACAGATAAGCATGCGTGTTGAAATGTACTTGTTTTAGATTAGATAAGTTATAGATAAGTTATCACTTGGTGAAATCACAGTGCTTATCCAGTCTTCACCAGCTTATTATCTAGTCCTGATGCCACTCGTTTATCATCATGCCAGCACCATGTAAGAAAGCAGCAATATAAAGAATAACACTTGGATGTAGTACATTCGCCATATTGTTACTGTCAATTGACCTATCTGTGTAAGTGGCGTCACTTCACTGCCATTCATAAACTTTCTCCCATGGCCTCATTAGATAGTAAAGTGTCAATTAAATATGCACTGCTGGAAGTAGTAGGTCAGTTTCTGAGTAGTCTTTTATGAGTACTATGAGATGACAATAAATTTAGTCACATATCGTAGTTTGTGTACTATATAGCAGGGAAATTGTTCATTGCTGCTACAATCTTTATAATGGCTCACAGTGCATAAAGTCTCACATTATGTAATTTCATGCATTCATATCAAAATATCATGACTTTTACAGTGCATTTCATATTTTTGTTGACAATTTTATTATAGGATGGTGAAAGATTGGTCATGCTACTCTTTCTCACAGCATACACTAGTCTTTACATTGGGCATTATAGTGCACCATTTTAAATGCTAAAACAAAGTAAATCCATCTTCCTCTTTGTTGGTTCTGCATTCTCTGGTTCCTGCCAGATCAGCACCAGCCATGGCCTCCATGTATTTCCAAGCCAAGTAGAGAGTGAAAAATCTGCAGACAGAAAAACGCAGAGGGATGGCGGATAGGAAAAAAGCCTTGTCAGAGCAATCAATAAGGGCAGTTAAAAGCATCTGTTTGCTGAGCTCAACCTATTATCTAATTGCTGGCCTACTGGTGATTGCATGGACACATTAATCTCTCTCTCTCTTTCTCTCTCTTTCTCATTCCCTCTTTCATTGTACCCCCAATAATTCTGGCCTCATAATTCACTGCTTTAAGCTTAAGCGATTTAAACATGAAATGCTGAATGAGCTTGCAATGATCAAAATCTAGTTACACCATTAGCTTTAAGATGACATATTCAAGGTGCTTGAATATGTTTTTGACTCTTCTAAAGGATAAAAATACCATAATATGTTTGCAGTTATTTAAGAAACATGCTAAGAGAACATTCTTGTTCAAATTTTCTGCTTTAAAAATGTGCATTACGTGCTGGAAAGTGTCTTTGTTTTGGTTTTTTTAACCCGCCCAATGCCAGTGTAGTCAATTATATTTTAGCACCCCAAGTTGCCTTGGTGGAAAACTGTAGTTGAGTCATACAGTTATGAATTCTCAAAGCATGCATCTGCCACCGAAACACGACCTTCGGTGGACAGTAACAGCCTCCGAAATGGGACGCAGATTCATAGTTCCGCATGGGGTGGTAATTAATTAGCAAATAACATAAACATTACAAACCTAAGACTTAGGTGAACAGGTTACATTGTAACCCTGTGTCCTAATAACACGCTACATGACGAGATTTGCAGTGATAAGCAATTCGGCTGTTTAGACCAGACGCAACATGACTGAAATTTAAAAGCAATCCTTTAGAAACATAGAATAGTGCACTTACTGCACACCAACGGAATGGTAAGTTTTATAATTTAAATTACACATAATAAATCTCATTAACATTATTAAATGTAGATGCTGAATCACTAATATGTGTTGGCTCGCACTGAGTCCCAGTTCTATTCTATAAGTTCTGTTCTCTCAGTTCAATTTCAAACAGTTTACTTTATTTTCAAGACCTGAGCTGAACTATCTGCTTCTGCTTTCAGTAGTATGGCAATAAATGTCATGTAAAATGGCATTAAAACTCACATTATTGAATAAAGCACCTTTTAATATGGAAAACATTTGTTCTACCACCTGTGATTGCTTTTATTTATCTGGCAACCTGCTCTTGTTTGTGTTTTGAAGCATGGGTGCAGGACCTAGTTCGACCACTGGGTGTCAAACATGCATACTGCACCTTTACGTCAGCAGCTAGAAAATAGTTTGTATTTGTAAGTTTAATTATTACTATACTGATATTGACTCTAATTCCCAACGGAGGTGTGAACTGATTTGTAGAATTGTGGCAGATTTTCAGTATTAGTTTCTCTGCCACTGTAACCAGCAAATCTAGTGTGACGTGTAAAGAGGAGTATTTCAAGAGAAGGAGCAGTTTAAAACTGCTCTTCCGACATGGCAAAGTGTGGAAATGCATACATGCTGCTGTAAAATGGCAGAATGGGTCAAATGTTTACAGATTTTTAATGATTGCTTACAAATTGAAGTCTGTCTGGCGCTGATTACAAATTCCATTCCATTCTTTATCAACAACATGAAGTGCATTAAACTTTGTGTTAGAAGTTGATAAGTTATGCAATGTTGTTAAAACAAACATACGTCAAAGTATTGTGCAATCTACGTCAGTTGATTGGAAATGTCAAATTTATAAGCAGCTTTGTAACAAATGTGTAAAATGCCAGTCTATGAACTGCACTGGCTGCTTTTTGGTGTTTGTTGACAAGTTAACAACACACTTTCTTTGTATCAGACTATTTTGGATACAGATTCAAAAGATGACGACCAGTGCCATAAATAATAATTGCATCACTGTTTACTAGTACTTATTAAGCCTCCAGAGCTGATATTCAGATACGGTAATGGGTGTTTAGTTTCTAACATGAAACTGTAAACCAATCACGACAGACTGGGCTATCTAACCAATTAGAGCAGAGTAAGCGTTGAGAAAGACAAGCTATGCATCTGAAATAATGTACCGTCTCAGTACTGTACTGTCTT